AGGGGGAGAAGATGGGAGGAGTAGGAGAGGAAGCGAAAAGTGGAGGGAGAGAGATGGACTGAGGTGGAGGAATGAGAAGCGAGAGATCTAGAGGGAGAAGGGGGAGGGGAGTAGCAGAGATAAAGAGAAAAAGCTTTACCTTCAAGGGCACTCCAAAGGAGGCGCCAGTCCTGCCTCCATGCCCTTCTTTGGCCCCTCAAGGCCAGAAGCTCAAATTTCACCTCCCTGGTCAAGCCCTCTAAGCTTTTCCAAATATTTTATGAGCATTTCAACCTATGTATGTAAATTCCTTTAAAGTTTTACTTATTTTTAATCTAAAAGGATTTAAATCCTCAAGTGACTTCTGCCTCCATAATAGCAAACAACAAATCAGACTCCGTATTAGAACTGTTCCTTTGACTTTAACCCTGTGCTCTGTTTCCAAGGCTTAGTCTTGTTGGTTCTGCACCTTTTATAAAACAATGTTGCCTAGAGCCTGAAATACACAGGAGAACCTATTCTCAAGGCTTTGACCTTTAAGAATATTAACACTTTTCCATTCTTATAAAGATAACATGTTGCAGAACAGAAAATAACATTTGTTTTGTTGGAGGTTTACAGGGATCTGACCCAGGTGGACAGCTGCAAGAACAGAGGATTCTAACAACAAAGGATTCCTACACCAAGATGTTTGCAACAACCAAGTACACCCCCTTCCCCTTTTTAATATAAAAGGAGCCTGAATTGTGACTAGGGGAAGATGGTTCTCCAGGACAATTACTCTGCCATCTCCTCAGTCAGCTGACTTTCCAATTAAAGATGATATTTCTTGCCACAAAACGTGGTCTTCCAATTTATTGGCCTGTTCTGCAGTGAGCAGAATGAGTTTGGACTCAGTAACACAACCAAACACTGAAAGTATTCATTTGGTGTATTAAATGACTTGCTTCTGCTGGTCTTTCTTCATGACTTTTTCTTTTTTTGACCACTCCTGCTATGTTTATGAAAAATCTGTCAGTCTGCTCTTGTGGACACATTTACATCTCTAGCCACTACCCTTCCAGATAAGAACTGATGTCACCAAAATTGCAAAGAGATATTACATGGTCAGAAAAGACCAGAAGTGTGTACTGGCTGACATTCAGGAGCAGGCTGGGACACCTGACAAGATGTCATAAGCATGGATAGACAGCTTGGCACCAAAGGAGAAGCTTCTAAGCCTCCATGAATGACTTGATGGATAAGAAGGAAAAGTCCCAGATTGTAGATCTGATCCTACCATGAGCTTCCTGGGTGAGGCTCGGCAAGTCATTTAAGTTCTCTAGGCCCGTGCTGTCCAACATGTGAGCCACCAGCCACATGCAGAATTATGAAGTTATTCTGTAGCCAGGCAGAATTATAAATAAACATTTTACAGCAAAGGCTAAGCACGTATGATGTTTGGAAACATTAGTGGTTTTCTTGCCCTAACAGGTTATTTTTGTATGTCTAGCTTTCTGTGGTTTGTAACGCCCATGACTAATGATTCCTTTATACGGAGATATTTTGAAGTTATAAGTTACTGGACACAGTACCATCATATTACAGTTGAAAAAAAAGATCTACATAAACCAGGCCATTTGATTTAGTAGTTATGAGCAGGGTCTCCGGGGCCAGCCTGCCTAAGTATAAATTCTCACTCTGTCTCTGGGGGGTTCTGTGTGAATCTTGGAGAAATTATTATTATTGTTGTTGCTGTTGTTATTTTACTTATTTGTGCCTCTTTTTCTAACCTTTTAATGGTGAGGAATATGTAGACTATCTTCTACTGTGCTGGCAGGATTAAGTGATTTAACTTCTGTGCTGCCCACTTCCCTGGGTTTCAGCATTCTCCAGGCAATCACTTTCATACCCGGAGGCACTCTCCATTGTCTTAGTCAGTCTGGGATGCTGTAAAAAATTACCATGGGTCAAGTGGCTTAAACAACCAGCATATTCCTCAAGTTTTGGAGGCTGAGACATTCAAGTTCAAGGTATCTGGGAGAGGATTGCCTTCATGGCTTGAAGATGGCTGTCATCCCACTATCTTCATGGGGTGGAGAGCAGAGAGAAGCAAGCACTCTGGGGCCCCTTATAAGTGCCCTAATCCCATTCATGAGGGCTCTACACTCTTGACCTCATTTTATCCTACTAATCACCTCCCAAAGGCCCCGCCTCCCAATACCATCACCCTGGGAGATGGGGTTTAGACATATGGACTTTGAGGGGAAGCAAACATTCAGTCCACACATCGGCTAACTCTCCCCAACATGCAGTCATCAAACCTGTAGCTGATTTCAAATTAATGTTTATATCTCTCTGCCCATTTCCATTCCTACATCCACTAACACTGAAGCCCTGTTAGATTTTATTCTTTATTTTTCTGGTAGAGATTTAATTGATTCCTCTACTCCAATGCTCTCCTCACTCCAAACAGTCCTCTTAACAGCCCTGCCAGGTAGGTCTTCCTTAAAACACCTTCCCACTGCACCTGGTTGTTTTTTAGGTGTAAATGTCAGAATCCTCTCCACATCCCATCCTAGACCTTTAATCCCTTACACTACGGCTTACTATGTTATTTTCCTTTTACCACTGTAACAAATTTCCATAAGCTTAATAGCTTAAACCAGCACAAATTTATCACCTTATGGCTGTGGAGG